GCCACACCTATTGTCCGGCATGTTTTGCGTCGTCATGAGCTTCCTAGTGTGTCTAGTAATAAAGATGTAGCAGTGTGTGATGCTTGTCAGCAGGGGAAGAGTCATCAACTTCCTTTTTCGGAGTCCAGTCGTGAGGTGAAACATCCTTTAGAACTTGTGTTTTCAGATGTATGGGGTCCTGCTCAGACTTTTGTTAGTGGTCATAATTACTATATCAGTTTTGTTGATGCTTACAGCCGCTTTACCTGGCTTTATCTTATCAAACGTAAATCTGATGTGTTTGACATTTTTGTTCAGTTCCAAAAACATGTTGAACGCCTTCTCAAGCACAAAATTGTTCATGTTCAGTCGGACTGGGGTGACGAGTATCGCAACCTCAACTCCTTCTTTCAGTCGCTTGGGATCACTCACCGTTTAGCATGTCCACATACACATCAGCAGAATGGTTCAGTAGAACGTAAGCATCGTCACATTGTTGAAGCTGGTCTGACTCTTTTGGCCCATGCATCTGTTCCGTTTCGTTTTTGGAGTGATGCTTTCACCACTGCATGTTTTCTCATCAATCGTACTCCCACTCGTGTTTTGAATATGAAGACTCCCATTGAAGTTCTCCTTAATGAACAACCGGACTACACCTTTCTCAAGGTGTTTGGGTGTGCTTGCTGGCCCCATCTCCGTCCATATAACAAGCGTAAGCTCGAGTTTCGTTCCAAGAAGTGTGTTTTTCTTGGTTATAGCTCTCTTCATAAAGGATACAAATGTCTTCATGTGCCCACTAATCGTGTCTACATCTCTTGGGATGTTGTGTTTGATGAGCATGTTTTTCCATTTGCCAAACTCCCTGTGTCCACTACCGAGCCACCTGTCATGCATTCATCCTCTGTTGCTTCTGACCAATTTGATGATGTTGCATATTCTCCTCTATTGTTGCCTAACCATGGTGCAGGCACTGGTCGTGGGGCTCGTTTGGAGATTCTGGAAGTGCCATCTTCCTCTTCGTCGCCATCGCCTTCATCCTCGGCACCTTCTGTTGTGCATGAGGAGCACATGGTGCCCCTGCATGGCCTCGGTTTCCGTGCTCATGCACGGCCGATCGACGTCCTGGCCCGGTCGCCTCTGGCTTCTGGGCTGCCTTCGCCATCGTCGCGCCCTGCAACCCCGCCGACTGGGCCGGCCTCCTCGGTCCCCGTCTCGCCCAGGGCGTCGGGGCAGTCATCACCAGGCCTGGCCTCGCCCGCCCCTGCCTCGCCCAGGGTGTCTGGGCCCTTCTCATCAGGGCCGGCCTCGCCTGCTCTCACCTCGCCAAGGCCGTCTGGGCCGGTGTCACCGGAGCTGGCCTCGCCCACTCTCGGTTCGCCCATGGCCTCTGAGCCCCTGTCGTCGGGCCAGTCTTCGCCATGCAGCCCGGAGTCGTCTGTCCCGAGCTCGCCTGAGGTGATTCCTGCATCTCCGGCGACCGTCACGTCTCCGTCACCTTCGCCTCCGCCGGCTCCTGCTGCTGCTCTACGTCCACATACGCGCAGTCGGAGTGGCATTTTTCAGCCTAAGCAACGTCACGATGGCACAGTTGCTTGGTTAGCGGCGTGCATGTCTGCTGCTCTCGCAGATCCATCCTCTGAGCCACGCACGTATCAAGCTGCTATGCGTATTCCTCATTGGAGAGAGGCCATGGAGCAGGAGTATCAAGCGCTTCTTCGCAATCAGACATGGACTCTTGTTCCTCCACAATCACGGGTAAATGTCATTGATTCCAAATGGGTTTTCAAAGTGAAGAGGCATTCTGATGGGTCCATTGAGCGCTATAAGGCTCGTCTGGTTGCTCGTGGTTTTCGACAGCGTTTTGGACTTGACTATGAAGACACCTTCAGTCCAGTGGTCAAGCCTACTACCATCAGACTTCTTCTCTCTCTGGCTGTTACTCGAGGTTGGTTTCTTCGTCAGCTTGATGTTCAAAATGCTTTTCTTCATGGTGTCTTGGCGGAGGAGGTTTACATGCGCCAGCCTCCGGGTTTCTCTGATCCGGATCGCCCTGATCATCTATGTCGTCTGTCCAAGGCAATTTATGGTCTGAAGCAGGCTCCTCGTGCTTGGCATGCTCGTCTTGCAATGGCTCTTCGTGCTCATGGTTTTGCATCATCAACTGCTGACTCCTCATTGTTTCTTCTTCAAAGGCATGAGGTTACTATGTACTTGTTGGTCTATGTAGATGATATCATTTTGGTCAGCTCCTCTCAGTCGGCTGCTACTGCGCTTGTTCGCTCACTTGGTGCTGATTTTGCGGTCAAGGACCTTGGGAAGCTTCATTACTTTCTTTGTGTGGAGGTTACTTCTCGTGCTGCTGGCCTTGTTATGACGCAGAAGAAGTACTCTCTGGATTTGTTGCAGCGAGCTGGGATGCTTAAGTGCAAACCGACGACTACACCCATGTCTACCACTGATAAGCTCAATGCTATTGATGGTGTGCTTCTTTCTTCTTCTGATGCGACAAAGTACAGGAGTATTGTTGGTGGGCTCCAGTACTTGACGATCACGCGACCAGACATTTCCTACGCTGTTAACCGAGTCTGCCAGTATCTGCAGTCACCCCGTGACACTCATTGGTCTGCTGTTAAGCGGATTTTGCGCTATATTCGTTTCACGGTGGCTCATGGTTTGCATATTCGGCCGTCTGACTCTGGTTGTCTTTCAGCATATTCTGATGCAGACTGGGCTGGCAATCCGGATGACAGGCGATCCACGGGGGGTTATGCTGTCTTCTTTGGCTCTAACCTGATTGCCTGGAGTGCTCGGAAACAGGCTACTGTCTCGCGTAGCAGTACTGAGGCTGAGTATAAGGCTGTGGCCAATGCCACATCAGAGATCATCTGGGTACAGTCCTTGCTTCAGGAGTTAAGTATACCCCAATCACAGCCTCCTGTTCTTTGGTGTGATAACATCGGTGCTACATACCTTTCTGCAAATCCGGTATTTCATGCCCGAACGAAACACATTGAAGTTGACTATCACTTTGTGCGTGAACGTGTCTCTCAGAAGCAACTACAGATCAAGTTTATTTCTTCCAAGGATCAACTTGCTGACATCTTCACCAAGCCATTGCCTTTGCCATAGTTTGAGACTTGCAGGCGCAATCTTACACTTCTAGATTCATTAGAAAGTGGCTAAGATTGAGGGAGGGTGTTAGACTGTATTTACATGTGTATATTGTAACGTTGTATACCACCTCATTATATATATATGTGATAGGCCACCCCTAGAGGGTTGTGTCGGTTCCTCCCAAAGCCTATTGTCTTACAGATGCTCAGGCGCCACTGGAGGAAACCAACAGTCCGACACAACATAGCCGAGGACTGCCCTTGGATGCAGAGACACTGCCCCATGCCACCCAGGGATGGGACATTGTGCATGCCACTTACAGATGGGGTTCGTGAACGTCCCGACAGTGGATGCTGGTATGCTCTCCAATACGATGTGTAGCTACCTCGCCCACAATTAGACCTATGTGAGGTGGGTACATCACTACAATTCCAGAGCAAAGCGAGTTATAATATGATCTCTCTTGGGCTTCCGCTTCTTCGTAGTTAGAAACACAAGCACGTGGTATGAAAACATCGGCACAATAATGCCTACTCATGCTTTGGGCGAGCAATGTGGACGCGGATGTGTGATCCTTCCATTGTTGTAGCCTGGATTTTGGGCTCGAGCGACTAGCAAACAACTTGAAAGAGACTTGACCATAATTTTCAGTCATGGTAGTACAATGAGCAAAAGAAATAATAAAATAAAAATTACATCCTGCATTATATGTTTCAAGAGTTTGAGTAAGTCAGGATCCGGTGGCGTTAAGCACAGAGCTAGCAAAAGAGCATGATAGGGACCGAGATATGAACAACCCTTGCAGATGTTGCAAGAAAGAATCGCGATACAGCAAGGCAATCGCAACACCGCAAGGCAATGCCACCACCGCTACAAAGTAAAAAAAAATCATGATGATGCAAGGCAAGGCAGGGCCTTTTGCAGCTGCAAAAGCGTAATGGTGATGCTGCTGCAAGTTTGGACGTACGATGTTGCAAAATTGATACAAGATGGACGGGCGACGCAGCAATGCTGAAACTGCGATGCTGCAAGGCATGTCAATAAATATTGCAACAAGGACGCGCAATGCTACAAGGCTAGTCGTAGCCGGTTCAAGGCTGATAGCAATGCTGCAACGAGCATCTTCGCCGTGGAGTGCAACTTACAGCGGAGAGATATGGATACCATTTTGTTCAAACAATAAGAAAGATGTTTGATTACATGCATATTTAAATGTTATAAGGACAAAGTAGTAGGAGAGAAAAATTGTTGAGATTTTTTTTTTGAGAAAAAATGTTGAGATGGTGTTGAAAAATGTTGCGGCAGCGAGGTAGAAACTCCATAATGGGCCATTTTAGAGGGTCGCTTCTACGGTTCTAGTGGGCTGGGTTGTTTCATCAGAACGACTAGAAAGCCCTACAAAGCCGGCCCGGCCCACACTCATATAACAAGGTCGAGCCCGCCACGTGACGCCGCGTCCGCCATCAAATAACCACCATAGTCCAAGACAACTACGAACCGCGCTTGCACGGTGTACCGAAATTACCTCATTGGACGGCAGAGTGTCGTCATCGTGAGTAATTTCCCCGTTAATAAACGCCCGAGTAAATCAGGAAATCAATCTACTTCCCTAATTAGCACATCATCCAACGGTCAAATCGAGCTCGCCTATAACGCGGAGTACCATGCATGTCGTCACCTGGTGACATAGACAGTCGTTTTCACCTCAACCGATCGCCTATGTAATTGACTACTATAAACCCTAATCAATGGCGATTCCTGGCTACAGCAGAGCTGTTCCTCACTTCCTCCATCTATATAAACCCCCTGCAACCACCGTATAGCTCCGAAGCTCTTCAGTTTCAGTCTCCTGGTCTCCCTCGCGTCATCGCCCACTCGCCGCGTGCGTGCATCACGACAGCCTAGCCATGAAGCCGAGCGGTGTCCTCCTCGCCGCCGTCGTGGCGCTGCTCCTGGTCTCGGCCGTGCGGGGCGACGACGACTGCGGGTCGCCAGAGTCGGCGGCGCGCGACCGCGCGCGGGCGAGGCCGCTCAAGATCGCGGCTTTCTTCTCCATCCTGATCTGCGGGGCGCTGGGTTGCTCCCTGCCCGTGCTGGGGCGACACGTGCCCGTGCTCCGGCCCGACGGCGACATCTTCTTCCTGGTCAAGGCGTTCGCGGCGGGCGTCATCCTCGCCACGGGGTTCATCCACATCCTCCCCGACGCGTTCGAGAACCTCACGTCGGACTGCCTGCCCGCCGGCGGGCCGTGGAAGGACTTCCCGTTCGCCGGGTTGGGAGCCATGGTCGGCGCCATCGGCACGCTCGTGGTCGACACCGTCGCCACGGGGTACTTCACGCGCGCCCACTTGAACAAGGACCGAGCCCACGGCAGCAGCGCCGCCGTGGTGGACGAGGAGAAACAGGCTGCTGCTGCCGCCGCCGAGGAAGCGCGCCGCCACCATGACGGCGGGGAGCACGAGGGACACGTGCACGTGCACACGCACGCGACCCACGGCCACGCCCATGGGTCGGCGGCGCTCGTTGCAGCCGTTGGCGGCGCCGAGGACGAGAAGGACACGATCCGGCATCGCGTAATCTCTCAGGTTGGTTAGAGAAATTAACAGATTCTTGTATCCTGCTTTTAATCTTTTTGTGACGATAATTAACGATGTTGTATTGTACTGCAGGTACTTGAGTTGGGTATTGTGGTGCACTCGGTGATCATCGGCATCTCCCTCGGCGCGTCTCAGGACCCGGAAACCGTCAAACCTCTCGTCGTCGCCTTGAGCTTCCACCAGATGTTCGAGGGAATGGGCCTCGGTGGCTGCATAGTTCAGGTATACATACCCGTACTCCTCTCAGTTATAGTGATTGCCGTGCACATCCATATGGTTTCTATAGTTACGGGCTTTGTCACAACTCACAATTGCTTTAAAGTACACCGATTACAATGTAAACACACACGCCAACACACACACACACACACACACACACACACACACACACAACGCCTAGTGAAGATCAGGTGGAAGTTGCGGGAGTACTACTAATAATCAGAGTTCTTCAAAAATAGTGAAGTTATAATACGAAAAGAGAGCAACACACAGACAAAATATCTGCGAGTAATCCCAAATTATACGTCTTGATCAAAACCAAGCATATTTGACCATTGGCTCGTGGAGTGCATGCCATGCAAAGCAGCAAAGGTGCTACTCTACTTGACTTGCTTGCCTATTTCTAAAAGAATAGAACAAATAGGCCGAGTCTTTCCATGTATGAACTTTTTTAACGGATGGCTGTATAAGCATAACTGAAACTTTGCATGTATGGTCTGCATCAAAAGTGGAAACGCCCATCTAAACAAACACTGGCTAGAACTTGTGCTTCACAAAGGGGAGAATTCTACGATGCTCTTCCGTGTAAAGTTCTAGCTAGAGAACCATATATACACGCATATCTAGATAATATATGTCTGGTAGTCACGAGAAAGAAGAAAGTAGAGCAGAGCACTTCGGGTGGCCTGCAGAACAAAGCAAATGAATCGGTAACTGCACATGTCATCGGATGTTCGAGAATAAAAAAGTGACCCACTTTAACAAATCCAAGGAATCTGCTGCTATTTTTGACCAACTCTTTTTAACCAGAAAATAATATCCTCACACGACCATTCTTTTTAACCATTCTATCAATAACCTGGTATGCCGGAATTTTGTCCTGATTACTTTCTGACGATACTGCAGGCAAAGTTCAAGGCTAGGTCCATCGTGACCATGATCCTCTTCTTCTGCCTGACAACGCCGGTGGGCATCGCCATCGGCTTCGGCATATCGCGAGTGTACAACGAGAACAGCCCGACGGCGCTGGTGGTGGAGGGCAGCCTCAACTCCGTGGCGGCGGGGATCCTCGTCTACATGGCCCTGGTCGACCTCCTCGCCGAGGACTTCATGAACCCCAAGGTGCAGAGCAGGGGGAGGCTGCAGCTCGGCATCAATGTCTCCATGCTGGTCGGTGCAGGCCTCATGTCCATGCTCGCCAAATGGGCCTAGCCGGAAGCCAGAAACATGAAACAGTTTTGCTCCATGACATATGAGTCCAGGATATAGACTTACCTATATTGGATTGCTGAGGTTGAAGAAACGATGTAATCTTGGCACATATTCTAGGGGGATATCTGGTGGCATTCTCTATGGTCTCAATAAGGAGATCTTTGATATCCTTATGACCAAGTGTGGTAAATTCATCCTGCAGTTGAGCTTGTTCGATAAGAACAAAAATTGTAGCTGGACCTTGATGATTGTGTATGGCGCTGCACATGATGAGCAGAAACCTGAGTTCATTGCTGAACTGTCATCTATGTGTCATAGTACTAGCATGCCATATCTTGTCGGGGGAGACTTTAACATCATTCGACACAGTGGGGAGAAAAACAAAAAAACATCTATGTCCCACTTCTCGGAGGTGTTTAATTCTGCCATACACTTGCTTGGGTTGAGGGAGATTTATATGACTGGTGGTTGTTATACTTGGTCCAATAAGCAAGACAACCCCACGTTGGGAAAACTAGATAGGGTTCTTATGTCTCCTGATTGGGAGGATTTATATCCTCTCGTTTCTGTTCATAAGCTGGTCAAGGAACTTTCAGACCACAATCCTTTGTTGTTAGATGGTGGGAGAACTTCCTCTAGAGCACCAGGCAATAGGTGCTTTAAGTTTGATAATGCTTGGCTCAGCAATCCAGATTTCCTAACTCTGGTCTCTGAGATTTGGTCTAGGCCGGTCTACACTATAAACCCTATTGATTCCTTAAATATTAAACTGAAGAGGATTAAGAAATTTTTTAAGGGATGGGGGTCCAATTTGTTTGGGCACAATAAGATCAGAAAAAGAATTATCAAGCTCGAGCTTCAGGAGCTGGAAAAACTTGAGGAGGGTGATGGTCTATGCGGGGATGCATACACTAGGAAGTTGGAGATTTTAGTGGAGCTTAATAAGATGTATGTTGAGGAAGAGCTTCATTGGCACCAATTCTCTAATGAGAGGTGGCTTTTGAAAGGAGACAATAACACTGATTTTTTCCATAAAGTAGCTAATGGTCGTCGTAGAAAAAACTCCATGATTTCCCTGGAATGTGGGTCTACTGTTGTTGAAGGGACCAAAAACTTACTTGCCCATGCTACTGAATACTACAAAGCCTTATTTGGACCAGCTCCTGGCAATATTTGCCAGATCGATGCAACATTATGGTCTCAGGAAGAGATGATTACCGCGGAAGATAATGAGGACTTGACTCGACCTTTTTCTTTGGAAGAGATTAAAAAAGCTTTATTCGACATGAAGTCTAATCGTGCCCCCGGTCCAGATGATATCCATGTTGAGTTTTATCAGCATTGCTGGGATGTATTAGCTCGTGACCTCTTATGCCTGTTTGAGTGGTTTCATGAAGGCAAGTTAGATGTGCAACGACTTAACTATGGCATCATAACTTTGCTTCCTAAGTCGACTGATGCTAAAAGAATCCAGCAGTATAGGCCCATTTGTCTGCTGCGCTGCCCATATAAACTACTCACCAAAGCCATGGATATTAGGGTTAGCAAATATGCTCATAAGCTGTTTAGTATTCAACAGAATGCTTTCATTAAGGGAAGACATATAGTTGATGGAATCCTGTCATTGCATGAGATTTTGCATTACACTCATATCAAAAAACAAGTGGGAGTGGTTCTTAAGCTCGATTTCGAGAAGGCCTATGACAAAGTCAACTGGGAATTTTTGCTTGACTGCCATAGGAAGCGTGGGTTTAGCCCTAAGTGGTGCGGGTGGGTTTCTCAAATTCTAAAAAATGGCATGGTTAGTGTCAAGATCAATGACGAGGTAGGGTCATACATTCCAAGTGCTAAGGGAGTGAGACAGGGAGATCCTCACTCCCCTTTCCTGTTTAATCTTGCAGTTGATTGCCTGACTAAAATGGTGCTTACAGCTCAAAAAAATGGTCTTATTAAAGGGTTAGCTGCTGATCTTATTGAAGATGGGGTTGGCATCCTGCAATATGCAGATGACACGGTGCTTTGTTTTGAACATGATGTCGACAAAGCTGTAAACATCAAACTCTTGCTTTATCTCTTCGAGCTTATGTCAGGGCTTAAGATCAACTTTGAGAAGAGTGAAATATTTAATATCGGGGGCGATAATGATACTGATTTGGTTTATGCGAGCATGTTTGGATGCCAAGTGGGCACACTTCCTATGAAATATATGAGGGTTCCTGTCACCTACTCTACTCTCAGGAATGTGGATCTAGATTTCCTTGATGGTAAAATGACCAAAAAGCTTGATGCCTGAGTAGCCTATGCAACATCTTCTGGAGCCAGGCTGACTCTGTTAGGATCCAGTTTGGATGGGATCCCTTCTTTCCTTATGTCAATGTTCCTCTTCAATAAAACTTTCATTGAGAAATTGGATAAACATCGCAGACGTTTCTTTTGGAGGAGAAAGAATAAGAAACATGGCTACCACATGGTTAAGTGGACGAGAGTATGTAGATCTAAGAGGATTGGGGGGGTTAGGGATTAAAGATCTTCATAAACAAAATATTGCCCTACTCGTTAAGTGGTGGTGGAAATTAGAAACGAGTGATGGGTTATGGTAGCGTATAGTACAAGCTAGATATTTCAGAAATAAAACAGTAGCTAACATTCGGAGTCGCTTCTCGGATTCCCCCTACTGGAAAGCTATTATGAAGGTCAAGGAATCATATATGGCTGGTAGAAAAGTTAATATTGAGAGTGGAAACCTAACTAGGGTCTGGTATGACCCTTGGGTCGAGAATACTGCGTTGAAAGATTGTTTCCCTGACTTGTTTAGTATATGCCAGGAACAAGAATGCACTATTGCATCCTGGGCTGCAAGCAATTATGAGCTTGGCTTCAGACGCAGATTGGTTGGGGTGTTGGGCGAACAGTGGGCTTGGATGGTCATGGAAGCTAAAAGGCTGTCGCTGAACGATTCCCCAGATAAGATTTCATGGGACCTTGGTGGTAAAGGGAAATTTACTACTAAATCCTTATATGATTGGCTGGAAAGAAACCTAGCAGGTCCTAACTATAAAATGGTGTGGAAAGCGCCCATTCCGTTGAAGATTAAGATTTTCCTTTGGCGGTTGTTTCAGAATGCAGTTCTTACTCGTGATAACATGCGTGCTAGGAATTGGCCTAGAAATCCCATATGATCCTTCTGTACTAATGTTGAAACGGCGAATCACTTGTTCTTTACCTGCTCGCTTGCTCGTTCAGTGTGGGGGGTGTTGGGCATGACGGCCGGGGCATCTTGCTGTCCTCGCTCTCTTTGGCAAAGTTTTGCTTGGCTCTATAAATTTTTTCCGGGTGGGAAGCATCTTTATATGATGATTATTGCTGCAATATGTTGGGGGATTTGGATTCTCCGCAATAAAGTTACTTTTGATAAACATGTTGTTCGCTCTCCTCTGGAGGCTGTTTTCACTGCCTGCTCTTTTATGCTGTATTGGGCAGGTTTGCTGAAGGAAGAAGAAAGGGTGAAACTCCAGGCTGGAGTGAAGAGATTGGCTCACGCGGCTGCTGCGCTGGCGGACAGATCCTTCCCTCGAGGCAGACCTCTCTTGGGAGACAGAGATGGAATCCAGATTGGTTAGGTGCAATCAGCGCTTGGTCCTTTGCTCTTTCGCTTTCCACTGGGGTTTGATGTCCGCTGGAGTTACGTCTCATGGTAGCGGTTCGCTTAGACACGGAAGTTTGCTAGCAGTTTCATCCTGGGACTTTTTATTTTGTTGGGCAGTGGCTTGTGAGTGTCATCAGGTTTTCGCCCCATGGCGGATGGTCCGTTCCAGGATCATCATGCGGTGGGTTTCCTGATGATGCGCCAACTCGCTCCCCCCTTTTTAGTCTCATTATGCTCAAGGTTTTATCTTGTCTGTTAGTTTGTAGTTGCTCGGTTGCTAAGAACTTGGGTACAGACTGATGTATTTCCGTTGAGTGCAAAATTAATGGAAAGGGGTTGTGAGCCCGATTGGAAAAAATCTCCCCAGATTGGTAATGCCAACCCAGTAGTGTAGGCATCTAAAAAAACAGTGGTGTAGGTTTTGGACCAAGAGTTTGGGAGGTGCGAAAAGTGTGTGTGCTTATCACAAGGGAAGTCTACATTATGTTGTCACCTTTGGCGATCCTTTCAAATAAAATTGATGAAAAGAATTTCTTCAAATAAATGATAATTAACAGCAATTACATCATCCACAAGCCTAGCAAGTACGTAAGTACTAAACAGCTAGGGGGGTAATCGTTCCAAATACAGAAATATGATTGATAAAAGTAAGAGTTAGGCCATTAGCCTCACGTCGACAATGCTTGAACTCCACCTTCCCTATTGATGTCACCGAATCCACAATTTCTGCATACACGGCAGCTACAGGATCCCACCACTGAGATTGTCCCGTACAGAAATTAACGGCCACCAGACAATCAAACTCCACTATGACTTCATGAATACGAAGAGAGGAAACCATGGCGAGGCCATCTTTTGTCACAAGTGTCCATAGTTATTACATTAGCCGCGTGCTACATACAGAGTAAAATGAGTGAATCCACACTCCAAAATATGTCTATATACATTCGGATGTAATCTATATTAAAATCTCTAAAAAGACTTATATTTAGGAACAGAGGGATATAGTACTATGATTTCAGGACTCTAGCACAAAGAGAATTGGGTCGATTAACAAGTATACATGCATTGCAAGGTCAAAAAAGTGTAAGTCACGAAATCCCATGCTCCCATTTTTTTCAGTACACAAAGTTTCAACCAAGCGTACCAATGCATTTCCTTCTCATCTCTATCATCACCCCACTAGAAACCTGCAATAGTACTCATTATGTCCTTGCAGAGGCCCTTAGTAATTTTAAACACTAACATTGCATAGACCATAATGCATTGGCCACAATATTAATTAGGATTTCCTTTCCACCTAGTGATAGGTTTTTTTTCCTTCCAACCCCTAATTCTTTCCAAAAAGTGTTTATAACAGTCACACCTATCCGCCCCCACAATGCAGGCAGACAAGTACTTATCTGATAAAGCATCATTATTAATATTAGTTCATTGCAGATCTCGGTCTTTAGCACGACATTTGTGTTTGGGCTAAAGAAGATATTTGATTTACCTCTACTCACCAATTGTCCTGATTTTGCACAATAAGAAACAAGAACATGCTGCAAGGAAGTTGAATTTAACATAACCGATGTCATAGGAAACAAGGTCATCGGTATATAAAAGGTGTCAAACTGATGGTCCATTTCTGCACACCTTAATCTCATCAATGCCACCAACTTATTTTGCATGTGACATCATACTTGATAAGGCATCAACACATAACAGGAGTAGATATGTGATAGATGACCCCCTTGATGAATGCCCCTCGTCACCTCATCGGTGTAAAACTATCCATCTTGAGAGAGTTATATCTTACTGTATATCTAACCAAGCTAACACAATTCATAACCAAGTTAATCCCAACTTGGCCATCATATTCTTCAAGAACACCCACTCAATTCTGTCATGCGCCTTATGCATATCCAACTTAACCGCACAAAGACCATATAATCCATCCTTTCTACCTTTCTATTTTTGATTCGCTAGACGAACTCATGTGCCACCAGTACGTTATCAGTGATCAATCTGCCAGGTACAAAGGCACTTTGAGTTGGAGAAATGATTTCTGAAGAATTGACTTCCATTGGGACGCCAATATCTTGGATATAATCTTATAAATAACATTGTAAAAACTTATTGACCTAAATTGTGTAACCACCTCAGGATTATCAGTTTTCAGGATTGGAACAACCACAGTATTATTCCACTCCTCCTAAATCACCCTCATGTTAAGAGCGTACAATACTTCGTGTGTAATTTCTTCTCCAAAAAGTATGCCAATAGTTCTTTTATAAAAAATAGCATGTAGTCCATCTCGCCCCGGTGCTTTGAGAGCCTTAATACTATCAACAGCTATTTTTCACATCCTTCATTGTGCAAGGAGATAACAACATATCATTCATCTCAGCACGCGGTGACATGCGTGTGCAGCTTAACTAGCAGGTCTGGGTCTGTTTCATGAACTTCCGACGAAAACAGGTTAATGAAACAATCAAGAATCATAGGGTTAGCGCATCAGTACCTTCAAGCCAATTGCCATGATTATTCTTGAGAAGAGTCATTATATTTCTTTTTCTACTCGCCAACGCAAACTCGTGAAAGAATTCTGTATTTATGTCTCAGTTTTCAACCAATTTATCCGTGATCACTAGGCCCAGTGAATTTCGTCTAATTCCAAAATTTATTCAACAAGCCCAGCCACTTCTTTTTTCATAATTTCTGTCTCACCACGCATAGGTGCTTGCATAACTTCCCCAAGGTCCTTTTAGGCATTTCCTTTACCTCCCAGACTGAGCCGATCAACCAAATGCTCTTTTTTAGGGATTCAACCGAATGCTATTAGGCTCTGGCTTTAGTTCATTTTGCAAACCAGCGTACAATAGTCGTACATGATGAGCCAGCCCATGCATGGGTAGCTCCTTTGTTTTCTATTAGTTTTTTCTTTCCTTGCTACGCAATGTTTTTCCAAATGTATGAAAAATTTCAAATACGTGAACTTTGTTTGAATTTACATTTTTTTCCTGAATGCGTAAACTATTTTCAAATTCGTAAATGATTTCAAATTCTTGAACTTTTCTCAAAGCCATGAGATTTTTCAAATTTATGAAATTTTTCAAACCCGCAAACTTTTAATGAATTCATGAACGTTCATTGAATTTGTGAGCATTTTTTTAGTTGGCAAACATTTTTCACACTCATGTACATTTTTCAAAATTCTTGAACATTTTTCAAATCCGTGAACTTTTTCCGATTCATGAACTTTTTCAAATGCATGAATATATTCAAATCCACAGACGTTTTTCATATTTATGAATGTTTACAAATTCCCGCCTTTTCAAAATCATAGAACTTTTTGTAGAACTGCGATTTTTTTGAAATTATGATTTTTTTCTTATTGTGTAATTTTTTGCAAATCTATTTTTTTTTTCAAATCCAAGTCTTTCATAAAATTTTGTGTTTTTAATAATTATTCAGATCCATTCTTTTTTACAAAAGTGCATCACTGAGCGGTCAAACGGCTGACAGTTCAGCCATCGACGGAGCGAACCAACCCAAATCCGTATCTGGCGTCCTTTGCGACACTTATAGGCTTAATTGCAAATGGCGGACACCCCTCCGAGTGCAATGGGTCGGCAAATGTAACATTGTTTGTCTTTCTTTTGACGAATGGCTTTTTACACCAACCGGTTTTGGGGAAGCTTCTAGAAGCTTCCAACCGGTTTTGTGAAGCTTCTAGAATCTTCCTACCAGTTTTCCTCTTTTTTTGACCGGTTTTGTTTGGTTTTTTTTTCTTTTTTATTGCTTTTTTCTATTCATATTTCAAATGTGTGAACTTTTCTAAAATTAACAAATCTTTCTCAAATTAGTGAACCTTTTTCAAAACCCATGATTGTTTTTTCAAAACCTAACTTTTTTAGAATCCGTGAAACTTCATTAATGTTTTCAAATTTATAAACTTTTTTAAAATTCGTGAACTTTTTAAAATTCCATGAACAATTTTGAAATTCATGATTTTTTTAAAAAAGGTTACAAACTTTTTTTGAAGATTGTAACCTTTCTCTCAAACTCACAAACTTTTTTCAAAGCCAACCTTTATTTCTTGAATATGTTTGAAACCATCAACTATTTTCAAACCCATAAACATTTTTTAAATTTGCAAAAATAATCAAAATTCGTGAACTTTTTTCAAATTCAGCAAAATATATTCAAAATCGTTTTTTTAAAACAAAAGCCATGAACTTTTCCAATTTTGGGTTTTCTCACATTGTTCATTCAAGAAGAGCCAACGGATGTATAAAATTCAAGAAGTGAATACGTGCACCTTTTTCAGAATTTTTCAGACTTTTCCAATCCGTGAACTTCTTTCTTGAACACTGGAAAACCTTCTTTCTGCAGCCACAAGATAGATTTGCAGAGACAGGAACAATACGAGAAATCCTGTGCAACGTGCAACGCATGTCCGGTTCAGAACTAGTGGTCGTTTTAATCATCGTCCCTGGTTCTCCACGCGGTCGACTTCCACCGGCGGCGTGTCAGCGGAGACGCGGTGACGCCGGCTGGACGCGCCCATTTCGATCATTCATACTGGGGAGCCGAAATGAGGCGGGTGGAGTGGAGTACGCAGTTGCCCCCAGCCACACGTCACTGCAGACGCTCTGCTTCACACGATGATCATCTTCAAAACCATCGTCGGCGACATACATTGTCCGCGTCCCTATCGGATCCGGATTGCAGTCACCCATCATGGGTGTGCGGAAATACTTGTCGGAGTAGGTGCCAAAATCTTCTTCCATTGTTTCAGCATTTGCGTTATTCTCCCGTGTGCACAACGGAGAAAGGGCAGCGATACGGAGGCGCCCAAGTAGAATAGCCAAGAAATTGATGGCGGGAGCCGAGAGCGCGCGGCCGGCGCCTCCGGTGCTGCCGTGGACGGTGCGGCTCCAGGTGCTCGTGCTCGGGGCCTTCTGCGACCTCTCGCAGCGCCGCGACGGCACAGTGAACCGCTCCCTCTTCTCGCTCGCCGACCGGAAGACCTCGGCGAGGCCGCGCCCGGACGCGCTCGGCGTCCGCTCCGTTGACGTCGTCGTCGACCCCGCAAGGAACCTCTGGGCGCGCGTCTTCTCCCCGTCCGCGGATAACGCTGAGGCGGCGCCGCTCCCCGTCCTCTTGTACTTCCACGGCGGCGGCTTCGCGCTGCTCTCCGCGGCGTCCGCGCCCCTGGACGCCATGTGCCGCCGCTTCTGCAGCGAGCTGGGCGCCGTGGTCGTCTCCGTCAACTATCGCCGCGCGCCCGAGCACCGTTACCCCGCCGCCTACGATGACTGCGGGGAGGTGCTCAGCTACCTTGCCACCACCGGCCTCCCTGCCGACATCGGCGTCCCGGTCGACCTCTCCCGCTGCTTCCTCCTCGGGGACAGCGCCGGCGGCAACATCGCCCACCACGTGGCCCACCGGTGGACCACATCCGCCGCCGCTTCTTCTAATGGCCCCGTCCGCCTCGCCGGTATCATCCTGCTGCAGCCGTACTTCGGCGGCGAGGAGCGCACGGAAGCAGAGCTGATGCTGGAGGGCGTGGGGCCGGTGGTGAACATGCGCCGCTCGGACTGGTCCTGGAAGGCGTTCCTGCCGGAGGGGGCCGATCGGAACCACCCGGCGGCGCACGTGACTGGCGAGGCGGGCCCGGAGCCCGAGCTGCCGGAGGCGTTCCCGCCGGCGATGGTGGTGATCGGCGGGTTCGACCCGTTGAAGGGCTGGCAGGGGCGGTACGCCGCCATGCTGCGGCGGAAGGGGAAGGCGGTGCAGGTGCTGGAGTTAGCGGACGCTATCCATGGCTTCTACATGTTCCCGAAGCTCCCCGACGCCGGGAAGCTCGTCAACGACGTTAAGAACTTCGTGGAAACCGCCACGTCCGGCCATTAATCCGCTGTGTAGTCGAGTCAGCTCGTATGCAACCTCGCCCGCGAGAGCTCCATCGTGTCGGATGCGAGGGAAATCTCACTTTCGGTATTATTTGTAGGTCCTTCTCCACAAGCGATTTTGAGTTGATCGCGGTGCATGCAACAAATCTCTTTTATAAAGTTACACGTTTGTTAAGCACTAGTGGTTGGGGCCCGCCATTAGGGGCCGCTTGAGAGGAAACTATGCGCACCTCACCATCACGTTGATATTTTAAAAAAAATATTCTTGCATCACGTGGACAACAACACCGTCTTAAAAGGAAAAAGAAAAAGATTAAAAAAACTTATCTCGAAAAAGAGTCTTCTCTACCATTTAAAAACTTTCTCACCGCGACCACATGTGCCACATGGCGTAGCTGGTTGGCTACCATTCTAGCGCCTCTTAATGGGTTTAATAGGTACCTGAGAAGTTCATGCGTCTCAGTTGATTCCACTGAGGCCCAAGGCTAGGGGCGACGTGATACGTGCCCGTGAGGAGCGTCGATCATGACAAGGCCGAGTTAGGACCTCGCCGGAAACAGGGACGGTGCTGCGAGCGGCACCAAGCTAAGACGTCCTAGCTCGCGAAGGCGAGAAAGCTGGTTGACTGATGCAAGTCGAAGGGGAAGGGGGCGGGGGGCGTCGCCCGAGAACAGGAGATCACCAATTTGGAGGAGAGGTGGAAAGTGAAAAGATCTACTCATGGTGGCAACAAACTGGAAACTTTTTTACGTTACAAGTACTCAGCAACCATGAACTTCGGGTTGTGAAGCTGGCCTGCTCCGGCGAGGCAACGAAGCGTGTTCAACAATGCCAGCATGGAACCGAAGGATTGAAAGAGAGAGAAACAAAATGAAAGAACTAGAGAACTACGTGGAAAACTTTTTTTGCAGGGACTACGTGGAATACATGGTAAGCAATCCAAACTACTCCAATTTATATGAAAAATGTGGACTAGAGAAGGAAGAACACATGACTAGACTACAAAAACTATACTCCATTAGCCAAGTAATGCTAGACCTACGTAAAGTAATTTAACGATTTTCACATATTTTCTTCTTTTCAACATATGAAGTGCACATGATGGCCGAACTACTATTCAAAGGCTATACAAATATCCTACCAGAAACAAGAATAATGCCCAGATTTTTTTTTCAAAAAAATCTCAGGAAACCTAACAGCCCTTGTATTCATTCTGGGATAGTTTCAACAAGTTTTGCCAAGTTGAAAAACAATTAGAGCGAAGTTTCAAATTAAGAGCCATTTTGGGTCGAAATTTGTTGAAAACCAAAGTTTGCAAAAAAATTATCAAATTTCCAGTCAACCCATGTTTTAAAGGGAAACGCTTGCCTTCAGCCGATCGATTTAAGGTGAGCGTCCGCCGCCTCCCTGTCCATCAGTTTTGTTTTTCATCGGACGATTGCAAGCCAACCTCCCCTCACTGTAAATTCTTGCAACTCCACCCATGTTCCAGAATGCAAGACCATGAATAGGCCTTTGTTGCAAATCGGCCGATGAGCTAGATCCTACAGTGGTTAGGATTGGGGAGGGCGGCGACGGCTGGATCCATGAGCATTATCATCGCGGGCCTACCGTGTTGACCAGGCGCAGACCCCCTGCGGTGGTGAGGACGACCAGGTCTCCATTAGCGATGGCCTCCTCGACTCAATTAGGTATGGATCCAGAAACAACAACCACCATGGCCGACCTCCATCACCAAATTTTCGCCGCCGTCGCGTGCATCGTCTCTGCCCGGCGTCCGTGAGCGCCGCGAGCCGAACGACGACGATGAGTCAACGAGCGTCCATGCACAGATGAGTTTATGCAACAACAACAACGGAGTTGCAAACAACGACAATGGTGTTGCGACATCATCGTTCATTGCAAAAAAGAAAAAGAAATCTGCAACATCATTCTTTTTGCAAAAGGCCTCCTGCAACATTATCTATGTTGCAAAAAGTGAAGACATTTTTTTTCTACAACACAACCTCTATTGCAAATATTTCTGAAATATTAGCCCAGTTGCAAAACGTTCTGTAACATTGCCTTTGTTGTGATGATGAAGGCGGGATAGGTTGTTCGATAGTAATCTGACCGACGGATCTCTGACCGACGCTAGCATGCCCCTATATTAAATCTGGGAAAATTTCAACATGTTCTGCCAAGTAGAAAAAACATTAGAGCAAAAATTCGAATTCGGAGCCATTTTTGGGTCAAATTGTGACCAAAACAAAAATTTACCAGAAATTGAAATAATTCTCAAAAACCCACACAACCATTATATTCAATCTGGTAATGTCTCAACAAGTTTTGCCAAGTAGAAAAAAAATAGAGCAAAAAATCAACTTCAGAGGCATTTCGGCCAAAATAGAGCAAAGATTCAGGAGATGGTGACATGGCGTATAACTTGGTGATGACTAAGTTGTTGACTCGTCAAAAGCAGTCAAAAACCACTCTAGATTTGTTTTTTTTTGTCCGGTTTTTAAAGTTGAGGGTTGCAAATTAGGCGGTCTCATAGTTTAGAGTTGTGTTTTAGGCTTATGTGGTAGTTGAGGTTGTAAAAAGAACTTCTCTCAAATTGAGATATGAACTATTCTCAAACATTTAACTTTGGGGGTGCCATCACTGCCATGTCCCCTTCACCCATGGCACATGTTGCGCAAAGAAAATGTCGAGATGGCAACTCGAACTTATACAAGCTTATATAGTACGTACAACACAGAGTAATAATTTAGACGGACTTATACAACTCGAACTTAGGCCCTGTTTGTTTCAGCTTCGCTTGGATTTTAATCACATGTGGATTCGCTTCACCGGCAAATCTGATTCTGAGAATTAGCTTCACCACCGAAGTACACTTTGAGGTGCTTCAGGCAATTGCACTAAAAATGGTCCAAATCCAGATTCAGCTTCACTGGCAAAGCTGATTTCAAATAGCTGTTTGTTTCAGATTCCAGATTCGGCTTCACTGGCAAAGCTGAATCTGCTCCCAGAATCCGAAACAAACAAGGCCTTATACAAACTTAGTTCAGAATGTTGGTAGGGCAGCTAATGTCTCGGTTCATCTTTGTGCAAAGCAGCTAATGTCTCGGCTCTTCTTTGTGCAAAGCAAGCAAGCACTTTAGATGTTATAGAATGTTGGCTTGACTCTACCCCAAGTTTCCTTG